CACACACATTACATGCACTGATCAGCACACACCACGGCTTTACCTAGTTAATAGTACACACACAACACACACCACTACGCACACACATTACATGCACTCACCAGCACACACCACTGCTTTACCTAGTTAATGGCACACACACAACACTGCTTTACATTGATAATGGTATACACACAACACACACCACTACGCACACACATTACATGCACTGATCAGCACACACCACGGCTTTACCTAGTTAATAGTACACACACAACACACACCACTACGCACACACATTACATGCACTGATCAGTACACACACCACTGCTTTACCTAGTTAATGGTACACAGACCTCAGACCTCAGACACAGACCGACAAAGACACATAATATATATATATATATATTGAATATATATCAATATATAATGCATAAGGTTAAGGCATACCTAGACAACTTTCGATCAGTGGCCTCCTCATCTCCGAACACTAGTTCACCCTCGCCCTTGAAGAGAAAGTATGCGCATCGCTCGTCAGGTCGGTCTTGGGGTGTCTGTCCAGGCTCCAGATGGAAACGCTCGCCTGACAGGCACATGAAAGACATAGCAATATACAGATAAATAAATGGATCATACTATCTAAAATGCATCATACGAGGATATAAAGTTTGAATGTGCCATCGCGTACAGGTTTAGACAACAACAAATAGCAGTGACAGACATCAACTGCCAGAATTACACATTATGCATGTATATATCTACATATATGCACATATATATACTACACACACACACACACATATATATATATATATATATATAAATACACATATATATATCCATGGTTGCACCAATGTCGATACATACCAACTAGCTGTAGCACTTCAATTTCATTTCGCGGGAGGCCTTTCATAGGGCGCAGTTGCAGTGTGAAGTCTTCGTGGTCGGTGCCGAGTTGGTTCTGCAGCAGGGCCTGTAGATGTATAGACATAAAACAGTGAGTATATAAAACGTCATAAAATAGTTAGTCTATAGAAAGTACCGTGGCGTGTATCTTTAGGGTATCCATACACGACGAGTGTAGATGCAACCCTTACACCGCCGCGGGTGTACACCGATGCACTGATTGCGAGTGCTATAGAACAGTTCCACACAGACAACACTGCGGATCTGAGTCTTGTACCAGTGTTGGGTACGAATAGATGGCGCGCAAGGGTGTGAGTGGCCATGTCTACTTCACAGCGACATGTACTTAGTAATGCTGCAACGGGCCAAAGTCCACGAAATGGTAAATGTAAGTAGGGCCTAACTAAAAGGAATACTCCCCCGAAAGGAAATTAATCTAAATCAATGCCTAAATTATGTCCCGCAAAAGTGTGTTATTGTACATTGTCTCTCACCCCCACCCTCACGCACATCAATCGGGGTTATTCTTTCAAAGTGCATTTGCTCGGGCTGCTCTTATGAGATGCATCCGTAACTTTCATTGTCGACACCGTCGATCGAAGCGCGCCTAGTATATTTACTTATACGTATATACAAAATATAAATATATACATATACATATACATAGGTATACATATACATATATATACCAGTAAATGTATATACACCATACCTGCTTGAACTCCTCAAATGTGATGGATCCATTATTATTAATATCTACACGGTCGAAAGTGGCATCGGCCATATCCTCCACAGCCGCCAGTGCCAGCTTACCCGTGTAGGTAGAGCGGATGTACTTGCGGAATTCACTCTTGTCCATTACCTACACAACATCCATCCGATTTTCACACGTGTTAAAAAGAGGTGCAAATGAGCCCATAAGTTGATAGATAGGACATTTTGTATAGGGACGCATGATCAGGCAACGAGCTTCATATCCCGTTGGGTGGCAGTTAAAAAAAGTTGTTTTTTTGTGTGACTCCCGAGGGTGTAGGATATATTAGATTAGATTATCCCTCGGGATGGACGATCCATCCCTACGGATCTCCGATAAGGGTCCCTAAGACTATGGAACCCCGAAGGGACAGGACGGGCCGCCTCCCCGGGTTCCGGGGAAGGACCCTCCACCATCCTCTTATGCATTACTCTGACTATGCCTCATAACAGCCAATAGATACTTACAACAGTATATCGGTCCAATCTCAGTTTCCGAACTAGTCTCAAAGCGAACACGTGCTTGCACGGTTCACGGTTGCATGCCCGCGACTAGAGTCCTAAACCAGCAATGTACTGTACTGGAATATACACACGCTACATAGTCACCATTTGGCTTGTATACGTTACATAGCCGCCACACCCAGATCACTTGCGCAACCAAAGCAAGTTAATTACACACAACCCAAGCAAGTTAATTACACACAACCCAAGCAAGTTAAATACATACAACCAAACGAAGTTAAATACATACAACCAAAGCAAGTTAATTACATCCAACCAAAGCAAGTTAATTACATACAACCAAAGCAAGTTAATCACACACAACCAAACCAAGTTAACTACATACAACCAAAGCAAGTAAATTACATACAGCCAAACCAAGTTAAATACACACAACCAAATCAATTTAATTACATACAACCAAACGGAAGTTAAATACAAACAACCAAAGCAAGTTAATTACATACAACCAAATCAAGTTAATTACATACAG